TTGAACGAGGCATAGTGTGGCGCCAGATGTGTGGGTTACATGTGCTACATGTCACTTCCATGGAAGCATCTAAGATGGATTTAATTATGTTCTACGGGCTTTCACCTTTCGCGCCACAAGTCGGCAGCGAATGGAGGTGCGAATCCGATTTCAAAATGTCGATCAACGTATCGCCTAGAATTCGTAAGGCCAAGACAAGTTTGTGCGATGCTCAGTTGCATCAGTAAAAGTCGGGCAAGCCAGGAATGTCGGCTATTCGAAAATGACGCCAAATGCAACACGCCTTTGTCGAAACTGTAGCCAGGATCGTGGCGAAATTTGTATCAACACATACATCGGTTCATAGACCATATTTGCTACTCATCTATCTGTGATTATGTGCATGATCCCGTCCAAACGTTAACTTTACCAAAAGCATAGATGTACAGACTAGATAAAACAGGTGAATAGGGTGGTCCGCCTGCTGGTAGATGGAGTCGGCCGCCATATCGGTAAAGGCGACAAGCATAGACTCGTTCTGACACAGCCACCGCAACGCGTGGGGCGAAGAGTTTGCTGCGTAAGATCGCGAAAGCAAAAATCATAGCGGGAACCGATTTTAAAGGCCTCAATGAGATAAGGCCATATGCCAACGATCCTGAATCATCTATGTCCTGTATTTCACTGATCAATGAGTTACCCGTATGGAAAAACTCCCACCGCCGACCTCCACGACCGCTGCCTGCGTGGACAGTACACCGTGCTCACGCAGCGATGGTGGGACCGCTACCTTCCTGTCCACCTGTCTGCTGTAGAATTCCGCGAGAGTCGGCTGCAGTCGCATCCGATGTGCACGAGCGACATCCGTTCGTGAAGCCTGTGGAGCGTGGGCCCACCCCTGATGACGACCGCCGCGGCCCTGACGCTGTTGAAAGGCAGCCAACCTACCTTGATAGGCAGGCTGGCTGCCTACCAACAATCAAAGGAACACCATGCCAAAATATTTGCACAAATAGGCACCTACCATAACCTTTTGGCAGTGCACTGGCCAGAATTTATTTGCAAGATGTACGACCGCCAGTACTGCTACTGTGATTTTTGCGTTACAAAAACACTCCGGGCCTTTGTTAAGAACAGACAACAAAACAATAACAGGATTTTGATTCAGCATTGAATGCAGCGTTTGTTACAGAGACAAGCAGGAGGTATTTTAACCTGTACGTGACTCTCCACTTAAAAATTCGTCACCCACGGACCAGGCCGCGGGTTATTTCACCAGAAATTAGTGATTATTACATCCCTAATGTAAAATCATGAAATGTACTCAGCTGATGAAGCTAAATGCAAGATCTCAGACAGCTCAGTTAAGAATTTGAAAGAGGTCATACAAAGAAAAACCTGGCAGCACCGACCGCAACTAGACCATAACTAGTCCCTTGAAGGGGAACTTGGCGAACTGATTGGCGCCTTCGCCTGGCACGGTCACTAACAATAACAATAACACGAAAAACACACATCGGCCAGTCGGTATATCTGTGGCTTGCAGAGACCATCCTAACACGCCATATATACGACGAAGGCCACGACACAACGAAATGTTTGCCAGCAACACCAAATGCCGACGCCCTCCATCGTAGCAGCTGTGAACTACACAGACTGCTTGACGTCTTTACCAAGATGACGGTGCCTTCACATAATGGCGGACAGCTGTTGTCCTATATGGTCATGTATATCTATGACCTATAAGGTCGCAATTTCACGTTTTTGTGTCGCTAAAATGTCGTCGGTTAATCGGTCAGTCGTCACCAGCGAGTAGTTTAACATGCGCATAAGTGGAGAGTCAATTTGACCCCCCCCCCCCCCCCTCCAAGGAAGGTTTTCCAGATCAAGTTTCGAACATAAGCAGCGCAGCCACGACAAACTTCGTGGATATGAAGGCAGTTGAGAAAGAAATAGTTTGTAGAAAAGATAAGGTAAACGTTATTATTTCAAAAGGAGGCTAATCGTTATCAAACGTCATTATCCTAAAAGCAGGCTAATCAAGCTTTTTTATGAGCATGCCGCCCAGCGTAATCAAAGACGCTGGTTTAAAATAAAACAAACAAAAAAAGTAATTACCTTCACCTTCTGAAGGTACATCAAGGCCACTGAATGCAGGGCGGGAAACCTAATCTAATGAAACCTTATACCTTTATTACGTATATATTACCTGAGGTCACCTTCTCCACACAGCGCGGAAACCTTTTTTTGACTGCCATCTCATCATAGAGTGATCTGATGAGATGGGTTTAAGGTATCCTGCTGGAAACGACAGCCGACGCCCACGTAAGCCTCTCTCTCTTGTTCAGTTGTTCAGAGTTCGGTTTAGCTCAGCTCACTCGTTTGCTCACTAGAGGATGTGGGTCGAGTCAGGGTCGTGTGAGGTGGATTTTCACTGGGAGTGCTTGTGATGTGAGAAATGCAAAAATAGTTGGTAATGCTTGTTGAAATTGGGTAGGTCGATAAGGTCACATTATGTTTGTAGCTTATGCCAACTTACCGCCACTGCAAGGACTGCAATCCTATACTTAATTGCTGATATACTAAGGCTAGTACTCGCTAGTAGAGACGAAAATACCTACTTGTAAAATCACTTGGCTGGTACTTAGCAGGTGCAGGCCGCCGATTGTCAGGTTTGGTGCAGTCTAGTTCACCCTGCATGTTATATAACTGATGGGTCTGGGTCATAGATGTCAGGGAGAATACGCTAGTCTTATAGCTGAGACTTGAGAGAGCTTGTTGGTTACGGGTCACAGGAAAGGTATTGTTTGCTGCACTGCATTTTGGTAGGTTCAAACCTCAAACTTGCTTCTGGACTATTGGTATATATTTGCATTGCGTAATATATATATATATATATATATATATATATATATATATATATATATAAAATTAACGAGAACGAACGACCATGCAGAACGACCGGTACTGCATGTACATACAGTACATACCTAGTACATATATATATATATATATATATATATATATATATATATATATATATAAGTAAACCAGAGCTGAATCAGATATTTGATTTGCAAGCTGTGTGAGCCCTGACTGATGCGACCCAATGCAGGCAATGAATCTGAACTGAGTCGATTTAAAACATCGGAACGACCGTGACGCGTGAGCTGAATCGGATTACAAAATCTGTGAGCCAGTCCTGGGTCGACTAAAAAAAAATTATTCGAAAAATTGATATCAGACTGGTCTGCATAGTATGCTTCATTGAAAGGCAAGGCTTAAAAGACATTGGAAGCAGTACGTTCTTAGATATGAGCTGCCTGCAGGCAAGAATTTTGAAATTTGTGAAATTTGATGACTTTTTACCTGATGGGGGGTCGCCAAATTTTCACTGGCAAGAGAGAGTAAGGTGTGGTGCATCCAATAGGGCAGATTTCGCACCGATCGGTGCAGTAGGCTCAGATCTGAGTTGTCTGCTTTTGCATGTGAAAATTTCCCTGCGCGTGAGGTGTTTTACCACAGGTCAGATTGCGATAAGTTCGCCCCTGTACTCATCTCATTGCACTGAATCGATTGGTGAATGTGGCAAGGCGAACGGACCACCCGTTTCGGAGAAAGACCGTGCCTGGTTCATATGTCGGTGCTTTAGTCTTTGCGATATCGCCGGTACGGCCGGTAATATGTAGAAGACAAGATGAGATGTTCTAAGTTTGCGGCACGTGCAAAAGTAGCAGGATAGTTTTCATGCCTTCATTCGCAAGGAGTTGGATGTGAGATAACATTTGACAACGAGAAAAGTCCCCTGCTGCCGGGACTTTAAATTGATAATCGAATCAGAACAGGCGGAGTCAGGTAGTTGAGTATCGTCGGCCTAGTACATACAATAGACGTCCGTGAGTAGGTAAGATAACAGGTCGTCATTGACGATGATGAAGAGAATTATTTCCACAGAGGTTCTTCCCTGACGAAGGACCTCTGCGGCCAACGGTGGGACAGAGAGTGGACAGTGCATCACCTCTCACCACCGGACATCATGGTAGCTCTCGAATCAGCTCGGGTCGCCACCGTGCCATTTGAGCTTCAGTCAGACATGCAAGGCATCGAACAATCGAATCGAAGGCCGTGGTTAACACTGCCAGCTGCGCGACTTAGGGCAACTGAGGTGACGACAGCGACATGGTCGACATTAGTGTGGCGATGTAAGAATGTGATACGAATAATTGCGTGTACGAAGATATACGGATTTAGAGATGACGTAGATTCACAGTCTTCTGCATGCAAATTTCTGTGCACAAAGATTCGCATGTAATCTTTTCTGGTCAGATATTCGGATACAAAGATTGCATATATGTTGCCGTTCAAAAATTGCAACACTTCGAAGTGCAGCATACAGTTCGGCGCTCCGACGGTTTGAGGTTGTATGTCACAAAACGAAATCCCGGTAGAACAATATTAAAATATATTTTATTGGTATCGATAAATGCAAATGAGAGGCCATGGAATAGCGAACAAATAACTTTCGGTCTACCACGCTCCCTGGTGAGTTGCTATGTGCATAGCAATGCGACCAACTACTCCTCAGGTAATATTCAGGTGACATTGAGGCTTGCCAGGACTGGTGGTGTTCGCCTTTCAGCCATGCACTCATCACAGTCTGAATACTCTCATTGCAACTGCTGAGATTGAAGCCAGGGTCTGCCGATTGCCAGCCCCACGTTCTACCGCTGACCTAACCAGCCGCATCCCCTCTGCGGTGATCAAACTTCCTTCATTGGGCTGGTGTTTACGCCTGGCTTAATGGTGGGGATGTTAAACAATGGATGCTCTCGCTGGATGATGGTTGTATAATACCATGTTGGTCGGCTATTACCTCCTAACTAGACAAGCGACAGGCTTCAGTCTCGCCTGAGGGACTCTTAAGTCTGACGTGGACGCTGAAGTCCAGACAAAGGACATTTATCATCAGGTGGCTCGGCGACAGCTGGGCCTGCTTGGTTTACGGATCAAAAAACATCAAATCATTGCACCAGTCATTAGGCACACCTCAATAAAGGGGCTTGCGAATGAAGCGCCAACTTACAGACGTAGTCCGGGGTCCCGAGCATCTCGCGTATGTCTTGAGCCGGGGAGATGACCCGCGATATCTCGAGGTCGCACAGCTTGATATCGCAGTCCGGGAATGCCCCGGTCAGAACCAGGTTCTGGGGCTGAGAGGACAACATACACCGTCAGTGCAGGCGGCGGAGGATTCCAGCCATCTCCTCCAGTCCACGACTTCGTTTGCTTGCATCTTGCATCTCATCATTAGGGGAATGCGTGAAAAGGTTATTTATTTTTCATCAGGCAGGCTACCATTAGAAATAACTATAGCTTCATATAGTTATTCTGGGCAAATGAATGCCTGTTGGGCCAATTCATGTTTAAGGCAGGCAACTTCTTGACAGTTATTTTCTGCCGTTGTGTGGTGAATGGGAAGATAATTCGGAAATACATACTGTAGCTGGTGTGTAATGCATATGTAGCTAACAATATGCATCACACACCAGTAGTTCGCCATGCTGTACCATAGATATACGATCAGTTTGCAGCCAGTTATGTGGGGGAAAGCTCGGCCAGGGCGGTGGCCGCCGATGGCGGACGGCAGCAGGGCTGAGATAAGGTATATCTCAAAGAAGGGCCTTCATTCTGTGATTCGGTTTTTTCACTGGAAAAACTTTGATTTTGTGGTTTTTTGTATCATTGTTTTAGATAAGTAGTATTTGAAGCTTTTGAATTTGTACACGCCTTAAATGCTGCGACAAATGTGACTTCTTGAAAAGCAGTCGGCAAAATCCAGGCGCATGAAAACTCTGGCGCACTATGGGCCATTGATTCGCATTTAAAATTCTGACCAGCCTGTGTCTAGATCCTATTTTGCCATCTACCTTGTGGAGGTAGATGCTTCTCCAGTCGCCCAAAATGCCTACCCGCTGGTGAAATTTCACCTCCCTAGGAAAGACAATGTTAAAACGATCGAGTAATCTTAGAGAGCTGGAAAGTCTCATTTTCTAAATGGCACGGTGAGCCGAATAGGCAACCTTGTGTACCAGTTGGAAACAGCTATAGATGTACATCTAGCATAGAAACCATGACATTTAATCATTTCCCAAATGTGTTGTGTGAATTAAGAGCGGGCAATGACCTCGATCTTTACCACCCCACCCCACCCCCCTTCCCCCGGTCACCGGGCCTGCGTCCCAGTAAAGAATACCCTAAGCCTATCCCTCACCCCCTCCACCTTTTAAAACGTTCTTACGCCTGCGTTCCTGGGTAGACCAATCTCGAAAAAGATGAATTAGACGAATCAGGCATTTGGTAGAAAATCCGTTCCTTTTTCATTATCCGCTCAACCAAGGCATATGATTCACAGAACGTTATTACGGCAGCGAATCTTAATTCACTATTCCAGCGTATAAAACATGCCCAGGTGACGCCACAAGTTGGTTTAAGCAAGGGTTATTTGCCTTGATGTCCAGGTGGGCGATGCTCCTCTCGTGGAGGAACGCCAGCCCCTCCAGCAGGCTCCTCATGAAGCGGACCACGTCAGCCTCGTACGGCACCTGGTTGTTGTCCAGAATCCCCTGCAGGTCCCCACCGCTGCCTCTGAAAAGAGCGCGGAATGTCAGTATCTCGCCCCACAAGTGCTGGGCAGGGCAGCACCGGGGAAAGCGGCCGTGGCCACAAAGCTCCGCTCTCCGTCCCGGTAGGTCAATCATGAGTCCGCCTGCCGGCCAGCCGACCCGTGGCGGGGTGGGTGGGTTCGAGTCGCTTCGGTGTGCTGCTGGCAAGGTCAGGGTTCACACAATTCGCGCTGATTCACTAATCCATTCAACCAAAAAGTGCGGATTAGATATATAAATCAATGAAGTTGAAATATCAATTCAAACAGGTAATCGAATAAATAGGAAATATCAATGACGTAATCAAATTAATCAAAATAAAAACTAATGAAAAGCAGAAACATTTGCACTACCATGCTTAACGAAACACGAACGCACGGCGGAAAAATGGCCACATTCGGCGACGGATAAGGCTAATTCACGCTGTCATGAAGACGAACCCACATACTGTAGCACATGGAATAGACCAGTAGAGCTCGCGCCGCGTTGCCACATTGCCAACTGGCTGGACATCTAGCAAGGTATGTTATATCAACAGATGATTTTCGGACCCTGATGCGCCATTTTCATCAAATTTACTAAATACATGAAATGGAGCGTGCTTATACAAGATACACTTTTCATTTATAATTGTTTAACATAAGCGTGGCTGCACATTGACAGGGGTAAAATGGTGCAAAAATTATACTTTGCTAAATGGACTACATTCCGCTACTTTGGAAAAGTAGATTAGTGGTGTGCTGCAGACCTCCTGGGAACAGAATGGGCTCAATTCTGAGGTCAATTCATGAGATGTGTGGCGAGCCTCATATACCCTGAGCTTCGCGCGCCTATCTCCACATTCCACTCCCTCTCGGTTTGTGGGCGTTTCCTCGAGTCCGAACTGGTCTGCGCCCTATATACGGCCTTGGTCTGTGCCACCGGACGGGCGAGAGAACCGTCGGCCGGCCGCCGCCATATTATCGGCGCGGATCACGCCGGCCTGTCTGCGCCGAGCTGACAGCGGGTGTTGCTCTAATTGCGCTCCTTCATCTTGCGACCGGTTACCAGACGGAAGCTGGGCGGCCGATCATTTATTCTGCACGACAGACTGTAGAGCGCGACCTTCCGGCTTGTGAATGAACCCACGCGGCTGCCGGTCGGCGCGGCGTGCTGTGCTCTCGTGAAGCCACATAAAAACTGCACCGGCGAGAACGTTCGGCCGTCGAGCAGTGCGCTAATGCTGCCATTTACGTGTGAAGGCATTGCGTGCAGAACTCTAGGCGTCCAGCCGGCTTCGATGAAACATTGCTTGTTCATGAGCTTTGCACCAAATCCATGCAACTGTAGGAAAAACAAAAGCTCCAATTTTCATCTTTAAAGCAACACTTCTCTGCGTCATAAAGTTGGCTTGATAACAGGAGCGCAGGCTCAAAAATTAAGTTGGACTGAGCCGGCAAACATGGCTAAACTTATCCACAAAATGTGCAGAAAAACAGGGTTCTCATCAAATTCGGTTTACTTCTTTCCCAAAGATTGAAGGTGGCTGGAGCCTCCCTTACGGTCTCAAAATTTTCACTACATTTTTCTGGCTTAAAGGAATTACCATGGACAATCCCAAATTTTATGCTTTGAAACTACCAGCACAGTTTTTCCCCAAACTTTAGATATCAAATATAGTGCAGGCAATGAAGAGCGCATTCAGTGATAGTAGTCGAGAAATTCTCGTCGGAAATCGACGAGCCTGCCATCTAACAACTCTAAGGTAGAAATCACCAAGCAGGATGCTATGTCGATACAATAGTCATGAATCTAGACTTCCTGGTTTAACGCTATTACAGGCCGGTGGGACCCACAAAGGGTGTGTTTTTTACGCCTAAGCTTGAGGAGATTAGCCGATCGGACATACCAGTCCGCAAGTTCGTTTTGGTTGAGTGAGGAAAAACGTCGTGTTCCATTTGTTTATCCTGTTGTAAACCTGAAATATTGCCCATTTTATCTGCATTCAATGCAATGGTTCTTAGGTATATTTGTGCTGGATTAATGAATGCATAATGCAAGGCAAGCATTATTGAGAAAGATAAACGTTATTTGTACATTCGAGCAAAATGCTACCGACATCACCTCGCCAAAGAGGTCATGCACCATCCAAGTCACAAAATTCAAAGTCTCACAGGTGTAAAAATTGTCAACTTAGTTGCTAAAAATTCTGGGACCGTGGCTAAGCCGCTCCGAGGTTAACGCGGGAAAACATTTGCCGATCTCTGAGGCTCTCTCGTAGGCTGATGGTCATTCCATTCCGGGCGGACGGGGCGAATCCCGGTATACTGGGATCGAGGATCTGTATATTTTCAGTCATCTCACGGATGTAAAACCCATTTTTATGTGTTGACTCTTTGAGATCTGATATGTTTTTGGTATCCACACACCAGCCAGATCAACAGCACTTACAGTTCCATGACGAGTATATACTGCTGTTCAGTCTCGAACAGCTCGTGCAGCTGGACGACGCGTGGACAGCGGCGGCAGCGCAGCATGGCCGCCATCTCGTGCACGATCTCCCGGCGGGCGTCCAGACCCAGCCGGCTCTTGCTGCAGAACTTGGCGGCAAACTCCAGCTCGGTGCCCAGCCGCCGGCACTTGTACACACTGGCCCACTGACCCCTGCGAAACACAGCATGGATTGTAAGAATAGGTAAGTCATTCTCATGTCTCGAGACTACATAACCGAGGTGATGGTCGACACCCTGGCTACGTCGGTAATCGGTTCGAACCGATGAGATCGAGACTCGTTTGTGCCATGAGCGGTGTCAGGACGAAAAGTCAAATAGAAACAAATAGAATAGAGAGGTGAAACAAAGAAAGTCGACATAGATAGAAATCGGCAGGAAAAAGCCAAATCAGATAAAATTCGAAAGATAAAAATAAAAAGGAATAAAACTCGACAAGAAGAAAGTCGAAACAGAAAAAGTCGAAGGCCAAAAAGTCGAAGGGGATAAAAGTCGAGAGGAGTTAAAGCCGCATCGAGAAAAATTGGGCAACAAGAAGCCAACAGGGACAAAAGTCGAATCGGAAAACCGAGACAGGTAAAATTCGATAAAAAATTTGACACCGGAAAACACTTCACCAATGATGGCCAGAACACCAGCGTAGCCATAAATCACAACTTGGTGTTGTTAAAGAACTGATGAGAGCCAGGAAACAAAAAAATTTGGTGGCCATGGAGTGTCCATGGGGCCCAGGTGCTACGTTCAGGTGTTTGTAAAGAGACCAGTGAGAATCAGGAACCCATACTTCCGTTTGGGAAGGAGCCAATGAGGACTAAGAACCAGGGGACTGTGTTTCCAAAACAGCCAGTTGGACCCAATGACCAGGGGGTGGGGCTTATGAAATAACGGCGGGAAGTAACGCCGCAACATGTCTTTTTCAGAAGGGCAAGAGGGATCCATGGGCCAACATTGGGAACCAGGCGCGTGCTTGTCCAGCGCCACGACTAAAGAAAGAAAGGCTTGGCGTCGCGCGCCGCCGTTGCGCGCCACTCTGCCGTGGGTACCTGCGTTGGTCGCGAACGTCCCAGAAAATTGCTAGAGGGTTTTTACTGACATGGATAGAGGCTAACGGGGTAGTCATAGCATGTCGGGCACTTGAACAGTCTTAGGGACTTTCTGCATGGCTCCGTTGTTAAGGTTTGAATGCTAGCACGACATCCCCCCCCCCCCCCCCCGATCGAAGGCTCGACATCTTGTTTCATGGCCAGTATCAGAACTCCAATAAAAAAACAGGTTTATCGGTTTCTATCCGGCATTTTTTACAATCCTGCTTTTATCGTTGTTGAATGCATCTCCTAGGCCTTCCTCCGATTCCAATCTGTCCCTGTCGGCTTTTTACCCTTGAAATGATTTCAAGCCTTGTTTGCCACCGTCCTTTTTAAACCTTTCAACTTTCCCGATTCTAACTTTATAGCTATTGACTTTTATCACTTCTGGCTATTGTCGTTCGACTTTTTCGCTCTATCTTTTTCCATTCGGCTTTTTTCATTTCTCCGTGAACCGCCACTGGCCGATCAGCCAGCCACTGGTCAGAGCGCCGCTGCAGGATCGCTGATAGCTCCTGCGTCGTCGTCATGAAGACGCCCGACGTCAGTCGATTGATAGAGGCTTGGGGCTGAGGTCGTGATCACGGGCCGCCTAACAGCGGCCAGCCCGTGATCGAGGCCGGATGAGGCCCCCCGCTGAGGGAGGCTCGAGCGCGGCCCGTGTCCGAGGCCCGCGTGCCTGGCGTGAGGACGGGATCCTGGCTAAATATGGTGTCGCTCCTTAGATGTGCATTTAAACGTTGCTTGGACTGGACAGCGTTACATTCAAGACCAGCACAAATCAGATAGACCTTGGTGAACAATGGTCTTCTTCAAACTGTGGCGTGGAAAGAATAATACGACACGTGACAAGACGATTTGAGGATAAACGAAGGCAAGATAGTCAACCATTCTATTGTATTTTCACAATCAAATGACGTCCGCCTGCAAACAAGACAGACAGCTGCTCGGGAAATCATTTTTTGTTTTGTATGCTCTATTGCCGCTATTCTCTCGGTACGTAATAGGCAAGAAAGACTACAGAATAGAACTTACCATTTGTTATTGCAACAGAAAAATCTTAGGCTTTCTTATCAAATACAGTCGTGGAAGACCTGACAAACTAAATGCACCAATGTTGTGAACAAATTCGAATATAACCTTGGAGGCTGTAAACTTCATTCGATGCGCTGCCTTGGTGTAACCAGAGCTAGGGTGTAACTACGACACGCTCACTACGCCTGACACTGCACTTATGCGATTGCACTTATGCACTTATTATCCTGTTTTTCCGAGGAATAAGGCTAATACTACTGTCTTATCCATGTGAACAATGTTCCTCGCTAATGCACTGCAGAACTTGCGTATTAACATGACAGCAACTGAGAGGTGGCACTGGCATCACTCGGACAGGCAATGACAGAAGTCTCCTTAAAATTTGGCTAGACATATGTGTCAATGATTTCTCCCCAACCTTAGACAAACAAACAAATAATGGTAAAAATATTGGGTTATAAGATATTGGGCGTTGTGCGCTATTGGTGTGACTGTGCATATGTGTCTCCGTAGTTTTTCCCTTGCTCATGACGT